GAGGCGGCGGGGCCTTTCTTCCCCGTCCCTGGGGGGCTGCGCGGAGCCGGGGAGCCGGGCTGTCAGGGGAGGGGACCGAGACAGGATGGTGTCCCTAATCCTCTCCCTCCAGCCCGCTGCCGGGATAAATTAATTTAAAAAACTGGCGTGGGAGGAGGGGGAGAGGGCTTAACTCTTTCTTGTCCAACGCCGCGAGGGGCTGATGGATTGGAAAGAAACTGTCCGAGAGGCTCTGATGGGGGAATGGGGGCCCTAGGGGTGCAGTGGGTGCCCTGCCCTCCACCTCTCCCCCAGCTCCAGCGGCGCCGGGGGGGGGGGGCACGCTTGCCGGACGCCCCAAGCCTGGGCCTATGGGAGAGGGGCTTGGCTTTCTCTGGCTGCACAACTGCCTCCTCGCACCCCAGCCTCCTCTGCCGGCCATTCCTCCAGCCTTTCCCAGTTGCACTTCTCTCTCGGTCCCTTCCTGCTCCTCCTGGGCGCCTTTCCTCCAGCTGCCCGGCTGGGGCCACCCCTCTCCACAGCCCCCCTTGGGCCTCACTCGGGGCTGCCGGTGGCCCTCTCCACCACCGCTCTCCCCAGCCCCGCTGTCTCATCTCCTTCCTTCTCTCTGGGGCTCTGTGGATTGACCCCCGCACCCCAACCGGTCTGTTCCTACTACCCCTTCTCTCTCCGGGCTGTGCCCCTTTCTTTCTCTTTCTCCTTCCCCTGGGTCCCAAGAAGCTTTGAGCTCACCTGGCTCCTAGAAAAGGGTCAAAGGTCATTGGAGCTCCTCTTCCGAGAATTGGAAGGAGCGCCCAGTAGAGTCAGAGCTCAGACTGTGAGCGGAGGGACAGGTTCATCTCTCCCTGTCGCAGTTACCTGGTTGAGTGTGTGTGTGTGTAGGAGTGTGATGGCTCAGTTTGGAATGAGGGGGTTGAGTGGGAGAGGCCCGGTGACCCCCTGGATGTCCTGCTTCCAGAGTAAGGAGGGTCCCCCAGCCACAGGGAGTTGGTGGGTGAAGGGAGGGGAAGAAAGCAGTTTGTGCTGAATCAGGATGGATTGGGCGCAGGTGTGAGCTGGAAGGCCCGCCCTCCCCTGAGGGCACCTGACAGAGGACTCCTTTCACCAGAGGGTCTCCACCTGGACTGGCCTTGAATAAAGAACACCTGGGCCCCTTGCTTCCTCAGTGGTTAGAGCGGTGGGTTGGGGGTTCGATTCCCAGTCAAGGGCATGTACCTGGTTGCAGGTTCAATCCCTGGCCCAGTGGTTGGGCTGCTGGAGGGGGAGGCAACCAATTGATGTATCTCTCTCACATCGATATTTCTCTCTCTCTTTCCCCCTCCCTTCCACTCTCTCTAAAAATCAATGGGAAAAATATCCTCACTACTCGGGCGAGGATTAAAAAAATTTGAAATCAATAAAAATGTTAAGAAAAGAGCACACGGGATCTCCATGTCAGGTAGTCTAAGGGAGGAGTCACCACAGCTTCCCTCAGGGAGCTTCCATTCTTATCTTTTTTTAAATTTACTTTTTCTTTTTAAATCCTCACCCAAGGATACGCTTGTTATTGATTTGAGAGAGAGAAAGAAAGAGACACACCAATTTTTCTTTTTAAATCCTCACCCAAGGATACGCTTGTTTGTTTGCTATTGATTTGAGAGAGAGAAAGAAAGAGAAACACCAGTGTGAGAGAGAAACATCTATGAGTTGATCAGTGTCTCCCGTAGGTACCTGACCGGGGATCGAACCCTCAACCAGAGTATGTATCCTGACCCGGAATCCAACCCATGACCTTTCCTGTGTGGGACAATGCTCCAACCAACGAAGCCATACCTACCGGCCAGGGCTCCATTCTTATCTTCAGAGCGTCCCTAGTCTGGTGGGGAATACTGCCCCCGCTCCTCCGGGAGCTCCCATTCAGATGTGGGAGAAATATGACCCACTTAGAGAATCAATGAAATATGAAAAATTCCTCACTTGCCAGTGCTTGGGTAAGGGTGGATTTAGAAGTTATGTAGACACATGGGAGGACGGAGGGTTATCTAGGATGGCTTTCTGGAGGAGGTGGCAGCTATGTGCTGGGGAATGAGGAAATGTGGTTTATTCTTAGGGGCAGCCTCCCTGCCCCTCTGGCCCTTCAGGACAGGAAGAGGGGTCCTACAATGTCTTTGCTACTTGCACCCAGAGTTCAGGAATGGCGGGAGGGTTCTTGGAGGGCCCGTATACCTGGCCCCTTCTGATACCTCATTTCCTGTTTTCAGCCCCAAGCACCCATAGAGCCTGCTTCTCCCAGTTCTAGCCAGTATGGAGCAGCCCCCTTTCCTCTACCTTTCTCCCCTCGGTGTCCTTTCCTTATGAGCATCTTCCAAAACTGCAGATCCTCACCCAGGATAGGGCTGAAGGGCGGGGGTCCCGGGTCAAGGTGGCAAGGTGGCGTTCTGCCAATTATCTCCTGCATCTTGGTTTCCACACCTGTAATGTGGGGATACTAAGAGTCCCAAGCCTGGCTAGCGCTCCGTAAGATGATGTCTCTGTAATAACAGGACAGCTGGGAAAGGCCCCAGGCACGTGACTTAGCTTTCTTACACCTACCACATGTCTGGTCTAACCCAGTGCCCTGCCCTTCTCATGCAGACCGGAGTGTTAGAAGTAACTGGAGCCCTAGCCAGTTTGGTTCAGTGGATAGAGCGTCGGCTTGTGGACCAAAGGGTCCCAGGGTTGATTCGGTCAAGGGCATGTACTTTGGTTGTAGGCTCCTCCCCAGCCCAGGCCCTGGTCGGGGCTCATGCAGGAGGCAACCAATGGATGTGTTTCTCTCACATCAATGTTTCTGTCTTTCCTTCTCTCTTCCATTCTCCCTAAAAATCAATGGAAAAATATCCTGGGGTGAGAATTAAAAAACAAACAAACAAAAAAGTAGTAACTGGAGATTATGGCCCTGGAATGAAAAATATCCTGGGGTGAGAATTAAAAAACAAACAAAAAAGCAGTAACTGGAGATCATGGCCCGGGAACGCAGTGTGCCCCTGCCCGAGCTTCCTCGCTCTCCCTTCACCCAGTATTCCCCTGCCCCTCTGACACCCAGGTCTTGGTGTCGGCTGCTGCAATCCTATATCTGCTAGGAAGCCCCAATTGTTTCAGCTGCACATATCCTGCTTTCCCACCTGCCCTCCTTGCTTCCCACCAAAACCACAAAATCAGCCCCCCACCCATCTGCACTTCTTCCCAGAACATGCTCAATGCATCATAGAGAGTTGGCTGTCCACTGCTGTGCTGTGAGTACTCCTCGTACCCCCTGGCATCTGTGAGTCTGTCTAGAACTGTGAGTTTGTCAAGAACAGTGGCTCTGTTGCTGATGGCGCCAGCTTCCTGAGTAGCTCGTGTTCAGGAAGGCAGGTGGTGAGCGCACCAATGATGGGGGTAGGGAGGTAGGACTGGGTGATGGATTGGAAGGCGGATGGGTGGATAGTGTGAACTGATGGATGCAAAGATGGATGGATGGAGGGATGGATGGATGGAGGGATGATGGGTGGATGGATGGAGGGATGATGGGTGGATGAATGTATAAGTAGGGAGGGAGGTAGATGGATGGAGGGAGGGATGGGTGCATGGGTGCATGATGGGTGGATGAATGTGTAAATAGGGAGGGAGGTGGATGGATGGATGGAGGGAGGGATGGAGGGATGGATGGATGGATGGA